GAAAAAACGAGTTCTGAGACTATTGAAGTGATGCAGAAGGCTTTTGGACATGAGTGTATAAGCAAAACATGGATAAAAGAGTGGTTTAATTATTTCAAAAAAGGCCGTACTTCTGGTGATAGTAATTCTTGTTCTGGCCAACCTTTGACGACAAAAACATTGAATAATATCAAGCGGGTGCAACTTGCGACTGAACAAGATCGTCATATGACTGTATGAAAGCTAGAAAAAGACCTTCAAGTACCAACAACTATAATTTGGTCAAGTCATGCCCAAACTTTTTGGTCAAGTAGGGACTGGCTGCTTCATTACAATAATGCGCCAGCATCTATTAAATTTTGTGCGAAAGTTTTTGTTAAAACACAGTATCGCAGGACTGCGACAACCTCTGTACAGTCCAGACATAGCCCCCAGTGACTTTTGGCAGTTTTCAAAACTGTAAAAAATACGTAAAGGACAGCGGTTTAATGATAAAACGACGGTTTGAAATAATGTAACGAGAGATCTAAGGCCATTCTTAAAAGTAAATTTTAAGACTGTTTCAAGAAGTGGAAACATCCCTGGAACCGTGTTGTTCAATTCAATGGGGATTACTTTAGAGGATGCCCACCATGCATGCAAAATTTTTTCGGTAATTAACTTCGTTTACATAACAATATAAACTAGTCTATGTATATATTATATGCACACATGCGTGCACTTGTACACAGTAAAAGTATACAGTAAACATGTAAATACACTAACATATGCACGCTTACATCGTTCCATATTCAAGTGAAACGCACATACATACTTGTATGCATACGTGCTACACTGCATATACAAAGCTATGCATATGTAATAGTGTATACTAACTTTTTATTTGTAGCAGAATCAAAAGGTTAACCATAATACTGCAGAGCCACAAAGTTGCAGTATTTATAAGTATGTACGTACGTTTTTACAGTTCTGGTTGCCAACTAAGGTGCATTAAAGCAAGTTCTTATTTCAAAAATGAAAAAAATTCAATGTTGGACCTGAGTCTGACAGGTTATTTGTTACATGACATCTAAATATTGTGTGTCAGAAAGATTTCAGATCGTGAAGTAAATCGATCAGGTAGACAGCGATAAAATAATGAATGAATAAATAATAACGAAACTAGACTCGCGATAATAGTTAAAATAAAATGGGCTTACTATCATAGAGTAATGCAGAGAATGGTACAAAAATTTATAAGTGTTAAAGTGCTCCCATACTGGCAGAAAATGAAGAATAACAAAAAAAGATAATAGAGAACCTACAATAGAAAATTTTGGCGAAGCGCAAAGTGACATAATGAGTGTTAGGGAGAAAAAAAACACCTCGTATCCGAAAAATGAGTCAGAGTTAGAAGCGCTTACTGTATTTTTAAAACATAGCCCGGCATCCTAAAAAATAGAAAAAAAATAAACAAAAACTAGCGCCTTTTAATGCTTCAATTTTTGAAAAAAATTAAACCAAGTATTGTAAAAGAAAACGTGGCCCCATCGACTATGCAAACAGCAGGTCTGGCTGAAATCACAATACTCAACGAAAAGCACAACAAAACTCACCGTAAATTCCCGAAGAGATTATGGCATATGGATATGGGAGATTTGCACGTAGTCAGTAGTTAGGTATTTCGGGACCTGTTGACAAACCAACAAAGGTACGGGACCAAAGTGTAGGATAGCAACAAAGGGCACTGTTATTTGACATTCCCTTACAGAGCAATATTAATAATAGAAAATCCCTTTAATACAAACAACATCTAGTTCAACTAAGTATGGTAAATACCAGAGCCATAGTACACCAGCAAGCCGAATACATGCAGCCCTCGAATGCACACAACGTACTAGCTCATGTAACCAGTGCATCAGGGGGAATCCCAATATTTAACTGGGCCCAATTAACTTTCCACTATTCAAAGAAATGGTATAGATACCGAAAACAACAATTCCGTGGCCATTTAAAAAATATTTTATAGGGACATTAGGGAATTAGGGAAATTAGGCACAGAAGTTCAAGGCAAACTATTTTCTGACACTTTTTATACTTTTTCAGTCTTACTCCTATCCACTGAGAACGTCTAACATGTAATGAAGATTTTTGTTCAAAAAAATTCTTTTACAGCTTATCAAAATTCATAACAGTATTCGAGAAGTCCTAAGTGCAAGACATTTACGTGCATACGCAAAAACACACTTAGTCACATTTAAGATTATCGTGATATTTTACTTATCAAGTAAGTAAACATGTAAAAGAAATACTAAAAAAAACCTATGTTTGTATAAAAGCTATAATTTACCTATGAAAGTAGTAAAACAAGTAAGATAACTGACAAAAGTATGAACTCTCAATAAGCTTACATACTTATTATATTTTAAAGTGCCACTACTCTTACTTTGCAGATAATTATCAAATTAGCACGCAGAGGAAAAAACCAGTTATATGAATCTCTAGTTCAGATAACTGCCATACTACAGTCATAAGTTATGTTAAAGATTAGGAACTGCGAGATGTGTATTGGGTACTCGCAACTTAATTTATGTATATGTGGGTAGTAATAGGTTGAGATGGTGTGGCGCTGCACTGTGGCACCGCTGTTGTACGTTTTTGCCCTTTCTTTACTACACTTTCAGCCAGTCAGTTAAAAGAGTTAAAAATGTATTTAGTTCAGAGTTGTTGTAATAAACATTTTTTTAGTTAAAAACAGAGTGATTTTATTGATTTCTTCTTTGATCGTCTACACACCTATACCTATGCACCTCACAGGTTACGGGCATTAGATTGGTGTAGCACGAGAGTGTTTGAGTAATTACAATCTGCTGTTTTGTCTCTCTTCCGTATGCAATCTCGTTAACCTTAAAACTGTGCTCTTTACACATACAAAGGAATTACGAGTTAATGGTTGCAATAATAATGAAATAAAGTTTATAGCAGACTGAGGTAATGCAGACCATTTTGCTAAATACAAAATTTATTTCAAAAACTTCAAAGACTGTAAAAAAAATTGATTGAATACTCGAACAGAGATTTCTCCTCGGACTTGATAGTGGAGACAGAAGGGTGTGTTTCCGGCAAGAATAACCAAAACAAGATAGTTGTAGACAGAATTATATATGCTGAGGTGCTCGCTGAAAACTTGCTGTCGCTTCACCGATTTGCTTAGAGAGGCTTGAGTATGTACCTAAAGAATACAAAACAAGATAGATTCAATCCACATTCTAACGAGACTCTAATTTCTGGCGTCTAAAAGAGTCGTTACTAAATGGTATAACTACTTTAACATGGCCAGCATACAAGTGAATACAGGAAATGTAATGAAACTATGGATTGTTGGATGATTTAAAATGTCTCTGTAGCAAAAACTGGAAAGGCTTAGCAAGTCAGCACTAAAAATAGAAGCTGCCCTGGAATCTTAAGCAATGTATTTGAAAGAGTTAGTTGAGACAACAATCAACAAACTTAGTTTAAGAAAACTATTAAAGATAGAAAAATTGATAATTTTATAGAACTTATGATTAGTGACATTCAAAGTCCCTTTACAGAGAAGTAAGAGCAAAAAGTGAAGCAGGACATTATCAGCACAATTTTGCGACAAGTACACGAAACCTGCTAGGCTTTGATGCTAAGATGTGCTATCTTTTCACTGATCAAAGCACAGAGTTTCAAAGAGGCTCAACTGTAGAAATTCTTTGCAGGTTGAAAGCTGAGCTTCAACTGGCTTGTCCACACTCCTTTGCACAATGGTGTTTCAGAACAGCTTAATTAAACTTTACAGAGCAAAGTGCCAACCTACGTTCATGACTCTGGGCTTAGGTAGAACATGTGGGATTTAGCCTTGGGTAGTTTAGTATATGCTTACAACCGCACACCACACCAGTCTAATAAAATAATAGCCCTTTCAGAAGAGTTTTTTCCCAATCGAAAGATTGATATAACTTTAATCAGAAGATCTTGCTGTGTGGCATTTATCAAGATACAAAGGAACACTGGAACCAAATTTGGCCTACAAGATAGACGAGTGGTGCTGGTTGGTTGTATCACCTCCAGTTAGATTTTTCTAAAACCAGGAAATGAAAAATTTAATGAGAGCCGAGACGTAAGATTTCATAAAAGACTTGCATTTAGAGATATCTGGGCAAAAGACAAGAGAGTAAACTGAGACAATCATAAGATAGACATCAAACAAGATGAATGGCTTATTAACTTTGATAAGGATAGTCCTGAAGAGTTATTAGAAAGAACGAGGAGTAAAGAGAGAGCCAGGTTGGCTCAAGAAGAATAGAAAGTTTGTTCAAAAAAACTTAAGACAACCTGCTTCCATTGATAATTCGAGTTTGGCAAGAGTTATCGACACAAATATGTTAAATAAACTGCTTTAGTCTAAGTGTGATGTTGAGTGTTTGATCACAAATGTCAAAGATGAAATGACACGCGCCTTGATTTTTGGATTAAACAAGGATCTTGCAAAGTATACAAAAGCTGTCGCAGTTTAGAAGTAATATCAATGGCTCAGAGTTATTGACGTGGAGATATTCTCAATGCGTGAAAGCTAATAATAAAAAAATTGTAGATAGACCAACTATGAATACTGAGCGAGGTGAGCCAAACATCATTGACTCTACATTGGTCTTAAAGAGAAAAATAGATAAAAATAAATAGATGGAAACACAAAGCTTAAAACAAGATTAGTTATTCGTGGCTTTAAAGACAGGAGCCTGCAGAAGCTGGACTAGCTCTTGTAAATTAGTGATATCGATTATTAATAGATACAATCTGAAGACTCACCAACCTAATGTTAAGACAGCCTTTTTAAATAGTTCTACCAATGAAGAGATATTTATAGAGATTTCTGAAGGTCTAATTAATGATAAGAGACCTTAAAAAAAGCTTAGCTGGAGGAAGTCTTTCATAAACTCAAGATCAGTTTCAAAAGATGGAACTAGCATACCAGCAAGCTTTGCCTTTATACAAGGAAAAAAGCGGATGACTATCTAGTCTTCATCGCATACGTAGACGATATAATGATAGCCAGTAATTATGTAGGTAAACTGAATGAAACTAAGACTGGTTGACAATCTAAGTTTGAGATGTAAGACTTGGGTGAGGTTGGCACCGTTCTGGGTATTAAAGTTAAACGAAATAAAAAATATAAAACAACTTCACTGACACAAACACAATACATTGACAAAATAAAAAGAATTGGATTTAACGATTTCAAACCACGAAAAACACCAATGAAGACAAGTGAAGTCCTAAGTTGACAGAAAAAAAAGAGAAGAATCAAAAAATGCTGATGAGCTGAGAAAAACAAAAACTAGAGAAAATATACTGTACAGAGAAGAAGTTAAAAGTTTGTTGTATCTGGCTAACACAATTAGACCAGATGTCTCGTACTCTGTGAATGTCTTAAGCAGATACTTAATCTGTCTAACTAAAGATGACTGGAAAACGTCAAGTTAATTTTTTGATATTTGCAACCCATGAGCACTCTGGTATGAACCTACAAAGGCTGCAAAGATAGATTGGAAGCCTATTCAGACGCGAGTTTGGCAGACTGTAAAGGCTTCATTACGACAGGAAGATACCTTATTTAGTTGTATAGCGGTACAGTTGCTTGGAAGGAAAGAAAATATAATTGTGTTGATTTCTCAACCTGAAAGGCCGAATACTTGGCGATGTGTGATGCAAGTCAGGAGTTAAGGAAACTCGAATGCTAGATAAGCCTAATGTTGTCACATACTCTGTTGCCCATGGACCTTTGGTGTGACAACAACGTTGCCGGAGCAAGTGCTAAGATAGATGATGGCAAATACTGAGATACATGACCAAAATCAAAGCTCTTTACGTTAAGGCATGTGTAACTTGAGGGAAAATAAATGTCAAATGGATGTGGTTCAAGGAACAATGGAAAGACATTTTTACAAATTCACTACCGTTTAATTTGCGTAAAAAACTAATAAAAAAAATTCTGAATCTGAGTGAATAATTTATTGCATGGTAGTTAAAGTTGGATTTGAGATAGTGAAGACAATAGTTTAAAAATTGACAAATTGTAATGATAAGCGTGTTGATTAACGCTGCTTTTTTAGGTCGTCCCAATTCATCGAATGAGTGACCTCAATGCCTTACTGGTCCTTGTTTTTAGCTATTCACTCTTTTAATTTACTTTCTGTCAAGTTCTTATCATGATAATTTTTTTCTGAATTTAGATATTATTGTAAGGGAGCGTGAGATGTGTATTTGGCGCTCACTGATAAATTAATGTATGTGGGTAGTGAAAGGTTAAAACGGTGTAGTGCTGCACTGTGGCCCCACTGTTGTACGTTTTTGCCATCTTTTTACCGCGCTTTCAGCCAGTCAGTCTGTCGATGCAATCTCTCGCATTCGTGTCCTTTTGCTCAATAACATGTCTTTGTTTTTCCTTTAGTTCTTACTTACATTGTATTATAACCATAAAACATTATAGAGTTAAGATTTATTGTAATAAATATTCTTTTAATTAAAAGTAGACTTCATTGATTTCGTCTTCAAACATTCACACACCCATACCTTTTCACTTAACAAAAAGAAAATGATTTATAGTAATTTAGTTATTGATATTCTTCGTTTTGAACCTCTTGTTGATAAGTACAATAATAAGGCAGTAGTAAATATAAGTAACTACATGATATTATATGCATTTATAGGTGTAAAATATCCTTGTATGTGGCTCAATTTCAAATAGAAACTACATCATACGAGTATAAAATAAACAATTGAATTAAAAGTAATGCAAATTCTATATTTCGGTTAAGGAAAAACATTACTTTGGTCTGTTTTTAACTTGGAACGTGAAAATAATTATTGCTTACCATGCATCTTTTGTTCGAATGTGCAAATAATTGGCTTTTAAAGAAAATTTTTAATTTTTGAGATTTAAAACTTATAATTACAATGCCCTTGATGTGTAAACTTAAGATTTATCTGAAATAATACAGTGTTCCTTTTACATTCCTATTAAATGGTAATCTTTTGAAGATTTTTTTTTCAATAATTCGTAAGTCAATTTATAAACCATTTAATAACAATACTAGAAATAAAAATTTACTTTCATTTTAGGTATTGTCTCTTGGTGCTGACATATTGCCAGAATACAAACTTCAGTCACCTCGAATTCATAAATGGACAATTCTTCATTATTCCTTATTTAAAGCCGTATGGGATTGGATAATTCTCTTATTAGTTATGTATACGGCTATTTTCACACCATATTATGCAGCTTTTTTACTCCCTGAAGCTGAAAACAATCGAAAAATCATTAAAAATAAGTTACCAGATGAAGATGATCCAATGGTCGTCATTGATTTAATTGGTACTATTTTTGTTCTAAATCCAAAACTAACTATTAAGTTCGTGAATAGTATACGCAGCTTAAACCATAACAATTAAATAATTTTTATAAAAACAAAGAATTTATTGCAATTATTATACATTTTTTAATATGTTCAAGCGTAATATTACAGTAGTAAAGCATTGCAAAAGTAAAAAAAATAAAGATGTGATAGAAGACTGTACTTACAATCTTGGAATGTGTCTGCTTTATTGTATTAAAAACACAACTAGGGTAACACTTTTGCATCTACTTAAGTAGTTTGTAAGCTTGTGTCATGTACAGTTACTATGTCTTTGTAGCCATTTCTATAGATATGGCTATGCAAATACTTATATCTATAGATTTGGCTATGCAAATACTTCTAAAACAGAATGATGATGTATACTTCTACCACTTACAGCAAAAATATATAAATTTCTAAGGTGCCAATGATAAAATGCTACTACTAGAGTTAGGTACATAAGATCTAATACTAATGAATTTATTAATTATTGTATTTATTTAATGATTTTTCGTTAGATTTGAACAGTAGAATTTCAAGACGTTTGTAGGACCACAGTCAGATTCATACTGATTCTGACTAGGATGATGATAAGCCCTAGGTTACTGGTGTATTCTAAGGAATATTAAAAACTGTTATTATACTCGTACCAACACATCAAATGCTAGGCAATGTCAATGCGTTGCTGATGTTGAGAAGAACTCAGCAATCTTATCACAAATTTTCAAAGAATCTGTCTAATGCTCGAAAAATAAGTTAAAATTGATCCAAATAAGACAAATAATATGTTTAGATCCTTCGCAACTTCTCTTGTAGTCATTCAACCATAGTAAAGTGTTCTGTGTTTTCACTTTGTAAATGTTTTTATTTATAATTGGGCATGCTTAGATTTCTGATATAATCTTTTGAGCTTACATTTTCACTGACATAAGAAAACATCTCTTTTTAACTATAAACATTGCTTCCGTCTAGGGTAGATCAACCAAGAACGATACATGCATGACCTTGACAGCATAAGTGAGAAATGTAAGTATCAACATCAAGCCATAAGGAATAAAAAATCAAGCACACTTACCTAATCTAGATTTTGTTTTCAACAATACCTATATTAAAGCCGTGTTGACACATAAACATTTAAGTTTGTTACAATATATTTCCTAAAAATTGTGAGATACCTGATTCTGAAAAGTTTAAGACTATATTTACAAAAAAAATTGTATCATCATAAAATTATGTTATAAATTATTGTTAAGAGATATAATATTAAAAAATGTGGTCTTTTTTAATCTACGGCCATAAATTTTGTTAATTTATTTCCAATAATAATCAAGTTGAGCCAATTTATTATATAAAAACTTTTTTCAAACACTATTTCGTATTTCAGTAATTTTTACCTTGCCACTTAACTAAATGAATTATTCTTATTTTGCATCATGATAAGGCCAAGTATAGTTTACCACAGGTAATCAAAGATTTTCTTAAATGTAAACTTACATTATTAAAACTTTGGATTTGAGATTTGTCTAATGTAGTAGCAAATGCTACAACGATAGGAAATTGTTAACGATGCACAATAAAATAAAACGTTTAGATGATTCGTTTGTTCAAAGCTGTTTTTGGAATAAAGACTCTCTTTTTATCTGTTCTATTACACAGTTAATTTAACGTACGAAAATCTGTTAAGAAACACTATTATTGTACCAATTCTGTGGTTTAGTTCATAAGATAGTTAATTTTTCTCAATATTATGCGTTTTGTTCACCGGAAAGTTAATATAAATATCAGTGTCCACTTTATCAACTCCTTTAGAAGTTGCGTTATTGATAATATAGTAAATTTTAATTTCTCCAGTTGGTTCGTTAAGGATTTTATTATTGAAATAAGAATTGTACTTAATGGAGCTCTTTATTTTATATAAAAATTTATTACATATAAACTTAATCATTAGAAAGTAAAAAACATGACAGAAGGACTTAGATACTGACAATCGGAAAATATTAGTACGGCCTGTGCGTGCCTGGAAAGGGGAGGGGTGGTTATTTTTTCGCTCGTCTTTAGGTGCTTGCGTATATTCTTTTTTTTTTTTTTTTTTAGTACTAATATTGCTGCGTAAGAAGATGGACGAATGTAAACCTCACACATGTGAAATCATAGCCAGCAGCTGCTTAAGTCCTAATACTTCTGTTACTCTGTGTACTTTGAGGGAGCTTTATACGTCCCTGCGTTGCTTGTAATTAAAATAGTCAAGTTCACTCGTATGCGAATCTCAGCAGTCTCATGCTTATCCAATTTCAAGTAATAATTTTGAAAGTCCTTTATTGGTGAAACAAATATTATTTCCTAATTTTCAAATTAAAAATGAGCTTTCTAAACAGAAAAATTCATTAATTTTTTTGATTATTATTTTTTTGTGACTTCTCTTCATTGCTAAGAGGATCTGACAAAAATAACTCCCCAAAATGATTGGTTTGATTTTGTATCTTTCAGTATCGTACTAATTTTTTACTGTTCTGGTGACTTTTTCCAGCGCTCTTTTTGAAATTATTGGAACCTCATCGTAAAGAACAAATTCAAGTACTCCTAATTTTTTTTTCATTTGACTACTTTTTCGCTCGCACATAATATTAAATACTTTTTCTAGTTATTATTTATACTTTTAACATCGAGTTACAAAACTTTTTACTGAAATGCAATTTTTTACCTGGATATTATTTCTCTGTTTTTTGATGTAGGGTAATTCAACTAACACAAGTAATTGCTTCTGTGAAGATGTCATCTCTTGTTTTATCATTATTTGTGCAGCCAACTGCAATTATAACGTGTTTAAGTGTAAAGTATGTTACTACTTTACATGTCCTTGTGTTTTAAAACAGTGTCAAACCAGTCACTTTATTTCACACACGTTAAAAAAAATTCCCTTACAATTTTTTGAAGTTACAATGTTCAATCAACCTATTGCAGTTTCTTTTTCTATCGTTTGTTCTTCTTTCCCAAATTTTTTATTTACTATTAATATGAAAATGTACTAAAATGCTTATATACACAATGGATCTGGTAGTCATCAAATTGATCTGGTTTAAGCCCAGCTGTTAACAGTATTTCATAGTTTTTCACAAACAAAAAAAAGAAAATAATATTAATATAATTCTCTTTAAACACAAATTTTTGTTTGATTTCAAGAAGAACAGCTCAATTGACAACTGTATGACTTTTACAACAAATAAGGAATTCTTGCAATCTCCAAGCTCCTTTCATTGGACCGACATGTCTATCATCCGCGTAACTAATAATTTTATCAAATATGGCTTTGTACTTGGGGTGCCCTCACTATACTGGAACTTTCTTACATACTAAATTATGTAAAATCCTACCACTTGTGGATCAGCATAAAAAAGAGGTCACATGCGTAGCAGACAGTTAACGAAGTATGCAGTTAAGTAATATATATATATATAAATATATACTAGTGGGGGTCTGCCCCCCTGTGCGCTCTACGCGCCAACCCCCCTTTTATTTGGTACAAAATAATTAGTTCTGGATATTTTTGGTGCTGAAGTAAAGTCTTTTCGGCTTCTGCCAGATGGCAATGATTCAGTCTCAACAGAGGCGCAACTAAAGCATCATTTGTCTGAAAAAAGAAAAAAAAAAATCACATTAATACTCTTGAAGTGCTAAAAAAAACTACCGTTGTCCCGAAATTTACCTGCAAATAACACTTAAGCAAAGTTGTGTCTATGATTTTCAACAATTTATCAGTAGCTGTGTTTTTCGATTTTTCAGTTGGAATGGATTTTCCTTTCGACTTTTCGTTAGCTTTAGCTTGACTATCATTGATCAATTTGTATCTGACTTCCGTCAAAAAATCTATGAGAGCCAGCAAACCGCTCTCTAAATCGCGGTCTTGAAGTTTCGGCAACTGCGGTTCAAGATCACTTTGTTCATTCACGTTCGGTTCTTGCGACACAAGATCGGGAAACAGACGGATCACGTCGTACGGGTTGGTGCCCAGCTTTAAAAATTGCTCCATTGCTTCGCGGAATTTCTTGTTCCGAAACAGATGATGAGCGTAATGTGTTTGTATTTTGTATGTTTTCTTTGCTTTTTCTTCCTCTGACAAATCTGACAAGTTCTGTAGCAAAAAATATATATTTTTTTTTTTTCAAGTGGTAAAAATAAAATATTCAAGAAAATCAGTTTTTTAATTGGCAAAACTCACAGTAAGTTTGAGAGCTAGTTGGAACTGACTTTGTTCCAATAATATTCGAATTTGCTGCGTAAAGTCAGTACNATTCTATAGTTCATTACTATTTGTATACTTTCTTGCAAATTTTATCTTCCATTAATAAAGCAAATTTCAGTACCGTCTAGTACTCAGATTTATGTAATTATAAACAATCCTTTTTTTGTAATATGCTTTCAGATACACCATAATGGATGCAAAACTTTATCATTGTGACAAATGTAACTCAAAATTTTTAAATCAAGAGTGTCTATCATCGCACGAAAAAATTCACAAAAAAAAATTTTTTGTATGTGATCTGTGAAGCATTTTAATATTAGACAAGAAAAACTATTTGCGTCATACAAAGAAATGCCAAAACATTGAAAAAAATTTTAAGTGTATTAAATGCGAAAAAGTTTCAAAAGAAATTATCACTTACAGAGACATTTGAAAAGTCATGAAAAATACGTTTAAAAACATATTTGTCAAAATTTTCGAAAAGGTTATGTAAGAGCAGAGCACCTTAAACGACATTTTAGAGTATGTGATCAAAATTAACATAGTAAGTAAGATAATTGTAACAAAATTTTTTGTTATGGTCAAATAAAATTATATGTAAAAATTTGACCACTTGTAACAGTTAATATATATAGCTTTACGAATATATTTACATTACATATGGGGAAGCTGGGGGGAGTGGGATGGGGAGCTCGGGGGGGGGG